ATTATTATAATTGATGATCACCATAGGTATTCAAAAATGGTAAATTTGTTTTCAAAAAAAAAAAATAATTTGTTAAAATAATTTCCAAATTACAGCCATCAAACGAATTGTACAACGAAATCAGCTGCATATACCAACATAATAAATGTGTACATCTCGTGTAGTTATCGTTTTGTAAAATACATATTTACACGCACGGTATGCGTGCACTTCAAAGCAATACGGTTTCATATATCGGTTACAAACAGCCTAAAGGTTTTACCCTAAATCCTATATTGTTCGTTATACAGGTGAAAAATTTCAAAAACCGCTTATAGCCGAAAATATACACGTATCATTTAGCGTACCGGTTTAATGTATATTGTATTTATTTTCATCGACCGGAATGTGTTAACGAAAATAACGATTATTTTACATTTTTTTTTTTTTTTTTTTTTCGGTATACCTATATTTTTAACGGTAATTGAATACATAAATCATTATTGTAACTATTTTCCAATATATAGTGTTTCAAAATCAAAAATCAATGCACATGTAAATACAGTTTTCTATCAAATATGCACGTAGAATCCGTTCCCAAAAACATAGATCGTTTATAACTACTGAAATTGTCGAGTCGGTGCGGTCCTACGAGTCCGAGTGTCTACGTCGGCGGGCACACCAGAATCGCTTCCCGTTAATCCCTTGAGTCGCGTAGAGTCGCGTGGAGGCGTCCCGTATATTATTTCGAAAAAAAGGTTGCCCGCCGAATCGCCTGCCCCGTCGAACAGTCTACTCGAATTTCTCCCGATATAAGGCCGTCGGATTAATCGACATAAATAGTTAATAAAAAAAAAACTAATAGGTTAAATACGCTATACACTACGACAAGTTTGACAATGTTCTGTTGAACGGCATGACGCTATACGGATGGTGAAATAAAATGCTCGTACGCGGAGTGCTGTATCGAGAGAACTTGATAATTTCACATTGAATCCCACGTCGAATCCTCGTGACGCACGAGACACGTACGCTTCGGTGTACCTCCGGTGTCGAACGGTCACTGTGATTTCCGATACCGATGTTTGAACGGATCGGCGCGGTAGACGACAGTAGGCACTCTACGGGAGACGCATCGGGCGTGCGGCGTATGGGGCCTGCGAAACACCCGGAGGCGATTCGAGTGAAAACGTGCGTGCACCGCCTTGGATTCGGGCGGCGGTTCGTGTGCACCGACGTCGGCGGTGGCGACCGGTCTCGCCCTAGCGCGGCTGTTTGGTTTGTAACGGCGTACAACGCAAACAAAATGTGCCGTCGCGGCTCGCGCGCCCGTAATTCGGGCTCGGCAACGCACACGGCTAGCCGTCGTCGACGGCGTGTTTGTTTTGTCCGTATCGGTTTCGACGAGGGTCCCGCAACAAATTTCACCCCGCCGCCTACGACCAGCCGGTTTCCCTTAAGACCCTCTCGCTCCCCACTCGCCGCGACCCGGCAAAAACCCTTTCACGAGACGTATTATTATTATTATTATTATTATTATTGTTGTTGTTGTTGTGGTCGCTCCAGAAGTACAAACACAAACGAGGTACGCGAGCAAGTATAATAGTATAAAAATATACGAGCGTGATATAACGTGGCGGCCCACGTATAATTTAAGAGAGCCGGGCCGGGTTTTCGTGTTGTTATCCATTAAGGTAGGTCCCCGGTCGCGGTCTCGGTACGCGGCAGGTTTACCTACTCCTTGCGCTCCTCGTCCGCGGAATTCCTCGGTCTTTTCCACCCCATCCGTTGTGTTTTGACGATCGCCGACCGTCATCAAACCGAGTCCCATCAGACTAATTTTAGGTGTTGGAATCGAACCGAGTCGCCGCGGCGTGCAGGTGTGGTTTTTTTTTTTTTTTTTTAATACCTACGTTTGAATCGCTGAGTTCTGGGCTCGGATATATCTGTTTTAATGTTTTTTTTTTTAAGAATTATTCGAAGCACACCGCAGGGGAAGAATAGTAGAAGCCCGGGTTTTCAATTTTGATTTGATGGTATTATTGTACCATTCGATTATGTTTTGAGACGACTGTACTGTCAAATATTGAATTCCATTCCAAGAGAAACGGTTTCAGTCGTATACATTATTCAATGTGCTGGATTAAAAAAATAACGTGGTCCGTGTAGATATAGAGAATTTTCATTCCGCCGAATAATTTTTAAAAATGGACTACTGTCCTTTCATCTCTTTCATCCCGTCGTACATTCAATTCATTGATGATGATTATGCTGTAGTAGTCATACAATATTCACCCGGAATCATAATAAATGCATCGTTTAACTCGCAGGACGTTCAGATATTTTATATTTTCGTTCGTTGACAGGTGCGTACCTGCCTACATAATAATACGAAGCAAAGGTCGAAAATCGAGTAAGAACACAATTACCAGGTACTTATATAAGCAATTTAAAAAAAAACCTTTGAACTTCTACGCACAACTTTCAAGCACTCGCGTTCTTTTTGCGGAGACACTTATGTGTGGATCAGTCAGAATAAACGCACATGACTGCAGTTATCGAAAATCGATGTGAACATAATTACAAGTAACACGATGAAATCAAAGTTAAAAACTATTATTTTATTGAAAATTCTCAAATTTGACGAGTGTTAATATTAGTTAATTTATTTACTTATAAAATATTGTGTCAGATATTATTAAGTGAATGGGAATTGTGAGTTTCTGCAAAATAACGAAACGTTTTACACTTCATATTACGTTTTTGAATTTCGAATGTTTTTGATTTTCGATTTAAACCTTAAGAAACGCTGTTCAGAGTCGTGCAATATATTCAAATACATCAAAAACGATTGCGTTCCGTACCGAAAACCTTCCTCTAACCAGTCTCACCTATAACCACGACACGCACCAAACATAATATTTCATCGTTCTCGTTTGACAACACACGTGCACACACAATATCTTGTCCATTAAATTCGTGTACGGATACACGTACGTTTTATATAATAATATTATGTCATCTCGAGTTTCCTGTTGGGGACGACTGCAGCGAACACATGGAAATATTCGGAAATTTGAAAATTAATTTTGACGGGGATGCGAGACGGCAAAAACCTGTTTGATGATTCCGTAGGGAAAACTGCCACCATCGTTGATTTCCAAAACGATATTTAATATATTCAAATATAAGACGCTAAAATAAGTGGTGATTCGTGTCGGATAAGATAATTTTTTTTTTTTTTTACAGGTCTCACGGAATACCATAACCTTCTTTTAAGGTGTACAATTTTGTACTGGTGTACAAATAACGAGCAACATAGTAAAATAAGGTTGCATAAAACATAATTATGACGCTTAGATTTGAATTTGAGTTAAAAAACAGAGATAACAAAAGTTTAAAGAGGATAATATTTAAGAATATTTTAGATAGCAGTAGTTGCTGATTTCTAAAATATTGCCGATCAAAAAATGTTCCGGCCATATTAGGTTTTGCTTCTTTTTTTTTACGTTTCGTGCTGTGAACGCCATAACTAATGTTCTGATAAAACGTAATTTCGGTACGATGCCGGTTAATTGGATGTAATAATGATGTAATTAATATTACATCATCGGGACAGTAAAATTCGGGTGTATAGCTTACTCTTAATCGCGAAAAGTGACCACAGACGTAAAAAAAAAAAAATTACAACTCATATTTGTAAAACCAATAATTTCCTCGTTCCTCGCGCGGAGTCTAAAATAACGCTACACTCTGGAAATAAATCGGTCGTTATGATATCATTTATTTTTTTTATTTTTCGCGCCGTCTAGTCGCGTCGTTTCGATCCTGACCCGGTGACTGTAGCCCAACGACGCAACAACTCCGCATAACGTGTATACGACAGTAAGCGATAATATTAAAAATACGATTTTATTATACAGGTAACCGCACAATAATAATGATAATACGTGACGTCCTATCTTACTGGTTCAAAAAAAAAAAAATTGTTTTAATCTTTGTTTTTTATGTTGCAGTCGACGACGGGGAGAAAGTGCGCGTGGGCGCTCGCGTGCGCACCTTTTGACCCGGCGACATTTCAGATTCACCGCCGCGCCGCCGCCGTCACCCGTTTTACATTATATTATGTTATCGCGTATCTTTGCCAGAACGTGATGCACTTAATGTGCGCGCGAGAGGAGAAGAGTGAAAAAAAAAAAATAAAAAAACGCTCTAGAAAAATAAATATAATAGTTAAAATGTATGCATTTCACTCGTATACGCAGCCAACCACAGTCATAATATTACACTACAGAGGTGGCTCATGATCCGTCTTGTTATGTACCTATTCGAATACTTATTTTTAAATACTTTAAGAATATATTTTGACGGATGTATTTTGAACACGTAGAGAATATTTTTATTGTTTTTTTTTTTGGTGTATTTTTATTCGTGAAATTAAAACACTTTTGTTCGCGTTTCCATTGTATTACAATATTTTCGTATTTCAATTATTTGTAAACTTTTATTATTTGTAAAATAATATTTTATAATAGTTCTGTGAATTTGTAATACAACATCCGAAATTCTTGAACACATTTAAACTAAACATTCATGAAAAAGTTGACATTGTTTATCTGCAATGTGTTTAGCGCAGAAATATTCGTATTTAAGTGATATATTTAGAATTACCAAGACTGCTCGAGATAATAAGCCTCGTAAGTTACGAAGTCCCTACTCTTTTGAGCAAGTGGATAAATTTAAATACTCAAGAGTGAATAAAAACATAAATAAATAAAATGACACACAATTAAATATCAGTATGGCAAACTAATCTTATTATTCGATGAACAAGATATTTAGTTCTAAGCGACGGTATAAAGCTCAAAATTAGGGACTGTAAACTTGCCATGTATGACCAATAGCAATGTGCGTATGTGAAACATGGTCCACTACACAGAGCGATGAAGAATAATTGCTTACTCTAATAATAAAAGTTTCGCGGAAAATTAACGAGAATTTCCGAAATTAAAGTTGGGAATATGACCTACGAAAATGTTGATCCACAAAGGTTGTACAACAATCCGAATGGCCAAATATTCTTAAAAACAAAACTATTGGAACGGGCTGACCACATTCGGCGGGCTGATAGGAGTCCTGATCAGATACCCAACAAAAAAGCGGCCAATATGAAGAAGACCTTGTCAGCGGTGATCGGATAGAGCGAGAAGAAATATAATACAGAGATTGGCGAGTTGTTAGAAATGAATTATGCAACGTCAATAGCTTGTATAGTAAAAAAAAAAAAAAACCAATGAATTATAATATTATTATTTTAATAAGAAAATTTAAACGACGAGGCAGCGTCTCACTCGCCTTATCTGACTTGTCACACGCACTACACTTTCATAATTTTCTCCGCGATAGTTTTTTTTTTCGTCTCCGTTCGTCATACATTTTCGGCGAGATTCACCCGGAACTTCAAATATATATGTACACACGCAGTCTCGGCCGTTTCGATATTTTATAAGCGTCTATCTCTATCTTACTAACATAATATATAGGTACGGGTAAGGCGTTGTTCGAAAACGAGTTATCCAAATTTCAAGGACGGAATCCAACTACCAAAATAAAAATAAAAACTAAGCTCTGCCTCAGTCATTCCTCGAAACCAGCGACTATTCGTTCACCGCCCACGAGGGTTAGGTATACTACAATGTAATGTAGGAACCATCGCTGGAACAAAATATAATAAAATAAATTTACAAAATATAATCTCTATAAATCGAAATTTCTGTCCCCGCGGGATTCCGTTTTAAATACGACGTTGTATGATGCCGGAGGTACACGATTTCGATATTATTTACATATACACGCGTAGTTACAGGTTAGATACCATATAATATGTAGTTTAGGTACATAGCGAGTAGTAATAATAATGATCATGGTTCGAAACTTATACAGAATTCGATTTTTTTTCTGACTTGACATTCAATCAGCTAGAGTGAAAAAATTCAAGAGCTTTTATATACATTTTGTGATTTTTTTTGTTTTTTTTTTTTGTTGATATTTTAAAAAAAAAAATGCTTTTTACTTGTTTACTTTCGCTTTTTTAAATATATTATAGGTTCTTATTTTAGCATTTACAGGACCTGACAATCTTTTTCAGAGCATAATAGCGTTTATCACATTGCGATTACCAGTCGAAATATTGTTAACAGATAGAAAAATTAAAAATAAAAGAGCCGATATTGTTGATGGATGTACAACTTTATTGTTGTAGGTGGGAAACTGGGAAGGTAGAATACATAAAGTTATTTAATTTTTATCTGTAAACAACGATAAAATTTGATCTTAAAATACTTATAAAAAAAAAAAAAAACGACTACATTATACTTAATTTTATATCTCAACTTACTAATGCACAAACTAGATCTAAAATGAAACAAAAATTGCTCTGGTCATTTTTAGATTGGAGTACGATTTCTGGTCGAAAATTTGTTTACAAGCCGACAAAAAAACAAGGAATCGAATGTAATAACATGAGGTCAATAAAGAAAATAAATAAAATACAAAAGACAATAAGTTACAGATAAAAAATAGTTAATAATAACTGAAATCAAATACAATTTAGATCTAATTTTCTTGTATAACTTTGGTTAGTAGTTAAATTCTTGAAATTGTTTAAATTAATAGTAAATGAAACACATAAATTTAAGCCAATATTAAATTTACATTTTTGACCCAAAACTTTAGTAAAATTTGGTAAGCATATATTAATATTTTGTTTGAATCTAGTTTTATGTTTATGATCAAATATTAATATTAAATGTTTATGTATAAATAAATCTATCAGAACAGAAAAATTAAAATTAAATTTTAAGTCTTTTACATTCAGTGCCTCAAATATTATACTAGAACTTGTTTGAAGAGATAAAATTATTAAATATTTTATAATAAATTTAAAAGTAACATTTAATCTGAATAAATGGATATAATAAGTTCCTTTCCAAAATTTAAACCATAAGAATAATAGAATTAAACTAATGAAACATGAATTATTCTTTTATAATAATTATTAAAAATATATAAATGATAACGCAAGATTATGGAAATAATTTCAAAAAAGAAAAAATTTAAAAATATCGAACAGAACAAAATTTATTGCGTTCATCGGATCTCCGTAGGACATCCTTTATACCTAAATACAAATAATAATTCAAAATAAAAGAAAATTGGTTTTCACAAAAGAAAATTATACGTAAACACACAAATTATTAACAATGAAAAATACATGACGGAGGGAAATTAATATACATGAAACATTGTATAAGTAACGCAATATTAGGAATTCAAAATTGAATGTCCCGATAAACTCTGACAATGAATGGTTATGCTCTTGTAGAAAAAAATATTACGAATACAATCCGTTTTCAAACGATGTCCGTATTGTCGCTGGTACACTTCGGGTATGTTAGTGAAGTAATCGCCGAATGCAACGCCAGTGAGTATCTTGGAAAACCTGAAACTGCGCAATCGATACAAAAATAATAATATTGTTTACAGGTACCCTTTGACGACTGATATTTTCCGTAACCTCCCCGTTAACATAAGTCTAGCCAAAAATGTTCCGGCGTTAACGCGGATGGTTTCTACTTTACTTTTTAACACGAAAAGTAAAACTTTACTAGACGCACCATGTAACATTTTGGAAAGTGTACATTGTACAGCGATGGTTTAAAGCAAAAATGGCGTGGGTAGATTTTTGACGAAAATTAATTTAGTGTTGTATATATAATTCTACACTATAAGAATAGGAACCGATGTTTGCATTGTTAAACACGGATCGAATTATACGCACGGTAAAGAAGTAACATAATATAAAATATATTTTGACTCACATTACGTTCCTTGAAATGGATTTCGCTTCCGGACTTTACCAGAAGTTCCAAAAATTCAACGTTTACCATTTCTTTGTTTGAACTGCATTCGAACCATTGGGAGGTGGTCCGATTAGCTCCAAATATTATTTCGTTTACCGGATTGACGGCACTTAAGCGGTCCTCAAATGTGTTTCTAACTTCTGTTATCAAATCGGATAGTTCGGGATATCGCTCGTTGACTTCATGGCTATTGAGCATTACATGAAATCTGAAAAAAAAGTATTGGATATTTAGATCATAATTAGTTGACAACAAAACGGATACAAAAATACTGATATTGTTTATAGGTACCCTTTGACAACGGCATATTTCGTTAGCCGCTCCGCGTTTACGAGGTCGGCCAACAATACGCCGACGACGGTACGCATTTCACCGTCTTCGTAAGCGAACTTTGCGCGGTTCGGTGAAACAATCAGGGTCACCTGATCACGTTCCAACGACGAGATTAAAAATGGTGTTTTAATGATTTAATAAAAGATGCAATTATTTCGTATACAGACTCTGCTTGGACCAAGATTGAGGAAATTAAAGGGAATAAAACAATTTAGTTTTGCAGCGATAGTTTTCAAAAATGGCTTTTCTGTGATAGACTCGGGAGAGAATTTTCAACAATTAATTAATTATCATACTATCACGAATCCGGTCGGTCCAATATGTTTGTCATATTTGGTATATATTGTAGTTATCCGCGTTCGAGTTTTGAACGATCCACCCGATCATATTCGCGAATCCCTTTGTTAATAAAATCCGGCGATTAAAATATATAAATGTAAACATTTGTATTCTGCGTTGTTTATGAGTCGATATTCACCGTTGAACGAGCCACGGCTAGATGGCACGTAAGTGAATTTGATATTTAACAGCGACCAAAAAATAATCTAAATCATGTATAAAGATTATGGAACATGCGAGGAATACTGTCACTGTTGGCGGGAAATCAGAAAGGTAGGATATAATATAATAAAGCGTAATTTAATTTAAACAACAAATCATGGCTAACAGATATAGGCATCGGCATAGGCCGGTTAAATAACTTATTATTATGAAAACACCACGATTATTACGATTTGCATAGTTTTATTATAACGTGTCGAGTTCCGTGTAGAAATGTAGGAATGAATTTCCAGAAATTAATATTGTGTATGACCCACTTCGTGTAATACGAAATTGTTTTCAATTAATGCGCGAAAATAAAATAACAAATTCGTTTATTTGGTCCCTTTGAGAACATTTAAAACGACGTCTTTGAGGTAGGTCCGATATTATATTATTAGCTGCGCTATAAAAAAAAACGCAATTTAACAACAGTGCTCGTATACTTTATACGGCGAGCACTCGACGAGTCATAATAGTTTTAATTATTATCGTTTTCGTCTTCCTCCTCGTTTGAATCGAACGCGATACCGAATTATTGAAAATCAAAAAAAAAAAAATTAATTATATGTGCACAAAGAAATTTAATCGTTACATAAAAATAATAACTGGGTCAACTCTGCAGCGTAGTCCTTCAGACAATATTATTTGTGGATTTTTTTTCGTTAGAGACGATGACAATACTAGCAGAAATCATAACATAATCAGTTCAAATTTATTTGCTTACCGAGCTTATGTTATAATTTGCCCCCCCCCCCCCCCACCATTAATGTCTATTTATATATGTACAGTGTACACTGTTATCTAACACTGGTACACAGGTTTATATCGTGATAACAATATTATAATATTTTGTATTTTGCGATACACCGCTGCTATACAAAGTTATTATTCAACGCATTGGTGTACATATGGGAGGAACACAGTATGCCCCCCCCCCCCCCCCTTGAAAAAATATCTTTCACAACTGAATAATGTTACCCAAGTAATACCCATAAAACTATCACGTATTTACTCTGTCGTCCAGTGTCAATAACTTAAATATAACTGTGTATGTATACATGTATATAATTAAATATTTGTTGCGTTTTTAATATGGAATTATATTATGTTATAATATCGTAACAGTAATAGTTTTACAGTGTTCTTAGTTTCCTTTTTAGATAAAGTTTTTTGTTGAATCGTATCGAAAACAATCCCCTACCACTCGCAAGTCCCCACAAACAACACCATTTCACCAGTGGGCAGTGATAAAATTCATTTTACCATCGCGTACCTATTTTGTATATGCATTTCACACTGTGCTTGGAATCATTGCGACGATTGGTCGTTATTTATCAATATTGGGAACTACATATTATTTTTACATATCTACCTTACCTATTGATATTGTTTTTACACAGGACCTACTTAACAATATTTACTGGGGTCCTAATCAATAAAATTAGTTTAACTTATTTTACCCAAGTGTTAAACTAAAACTTTGTTTATGTATATATAAATATATATTGTATATAACGTAATGAGTTTATTTACTCAAAAATACGCAAATAAATACCTGGTGAAACAAGGAGTATGATTCGATAGTGAATTTTTTTTTTTTTTTTTAATTAGGTCGATCGCCAATTTGTTATATTCATATTAAAATTATATGAATTATAATTGATTATAGCAGTATACACTGTACAGTATACAAGTTTAGTCGGAAACTGGTTATCCGGTGTTTTTTTTTTTTTTTGTATTTATTATACGGTTATAATTATTATTATTATATTATATTTTGTCGTTTGCGGTCAAGCGTATTGAATATAAAATATACGAACTATACGAAAGCAAATCGTTTCGACGTACGGAAAAAAAAAAAAATGATATTATATGTAATAATTATTGTTATTCAAGTGTTACGCGCTTATTTAAGTATAACTACAAATTGTTTTTGTTTTGTTTAAATAACCAAGTTTAAAAGTTACATCATAAAGTCAGGAAACCTACTTTTTTCAAACAGAAATTGATTATATTGTATTCAACATTAAAAATCGAATACAATTATACCGTATATAATAATGAAATATTATACATACTCTGTCGGAATTTACTGCATTTAAATGCCTTCGTTAAACAATTTTTAAATGCGTTTTTCATATAATGGCTACACTTTACAGATTACGGGGAATATTTTATTGCATTTCTAATTCGTTATTTGGCCCAAAAACATGTATTACGGGAAAAGCTCTCACTAGTTGTAAACCGAAAATAGGGTTTTCAATATTTCAATCTTACATTTTATAATACGGCCAATTTTATGAAAAACAAATTGTAGTACGTGAGCACCTAGCGTTTCCACGAACAATACACCTACTCTCCTAAAAATCATTGAACTAAGCTGTCCTGTGATAAAATTTTAGTCTTTAAATTAACAATTATTTAAAATAATTGCGATAAACATTGAAGCTAGGAACCTACTTTAAAATAATGAAATACAAAATATTTGTGTCACATATAGGAAAAAGTAATCATCTCGATTACATATATATGTATAATATACATATATATACATATGATGTACATTGTATATCATTAAAAAATTAAAAATGTTAGGCTATGTCCTATCCATTATGTACATTTCATCCTGTACCGGCATCAAAAATTAACATTTTTTTTTTTTTTTTGTAGCAATATTTAGTATGGATTTGCGTGCTTTTAGTTTAAACGTTATATCAAAGAACCGTCTATCCAAGTATAACGCCTAAACTAAAATCATGCAAATTGCGTCGATAGGCATGCAAATTCATGGTAATTATATGCTAAATATTGCTGGGAAAAAATTGAATGGAGGGGGCTGGCGAAATGTACGCCTATGCGTTCCTTAATATTATATTTTTCATATTTAAATTATACTCCTTAACATTTATACATTTAAGTCCTCGGCTAGAGACACCCATTTGAGAGGTGAACATTTCGTCAATAGGATAGTAAATCATTTTATTCCAGAGTTCGGATGTGAGAATTTGAAGTACTTAGGTACCTGCAAGAGAGCGTTGAGGTAATTGAGAAAAACCTGAAAACGTCTGACGCATATTCTGTCATTTTCCAATCGGGAAAGCCTATCGAAATTGGGAAATCTGTCATATACGACATTGTATTGGTTTGTGGATCTACTCGTATACCTAAAAAACCAAAATACCTATATTTTTTGGAAATTTTAGAAATTCAAAAAAAAAAAAAAAAAAAAAAAGGATTAAAATCGTATTCCGATTACATATCTGTAAAAAATTGTAATAAGTATACATTTTAAAATTGCAATTTTGTAAATTTAATTAATAGCATACCGATCAAATAGCCAAATATTTATATCAATAAATATTTATTCGGTCATCTATAAATGATTTAACTAATGTTATCAAAAAGTCTGACATTTCTTTTTTCTTTACCTTAAATGCTAAACTTTAAAAAAATAATAAAAATTAATCAAGATGCTACGGA